TCTCATCAGCTACTCCTGACCCACCTACTTCTCCTAATGTTCCGCGGAAATCTATACATACTCGTCCAACTTCACAAAATACTGCAAAGAAGACCCCTCCATCACCATGCTGGCATTGTGGCGCGTGGCACTTTGTAAAGTCTTGCCCATACAAAAATCATCGTTGCAGCAAGTGCAAGATCATCGGTCACAAAAATGGTTTTTGTCAGCCACGCAACCCAGATATCAAAATCCAGCAAAAGCTCAACAAAATGTTGGTCCTAAATCCCCAAAAAGTCATTGAGTCTACGTGCAACCCGTCAAGTCACAACACCAGGTATGCGGAAATATATTGACCTTCAGATGAATGGTCATGATACTCGTCTGCAGCTAGATACTGCCTCTGATATTACTGTTATATCAGAGAAACTTTGGAATTATATTGGCAGACCACCTATCACCAATACTTCCCAGTCTCTTCTCAGCGCCTGTGGTGGGCGGCTCAAACTAATTGGTGAACTCAAATGTTCTGTTTCCTTCCGCAATACCAAATTCACAGGAATTTGTTACGTCACGAAGAATGATTTAAATGTTTTGGGACTTGATTGGTTCGATCGTTTGCATCTGGCTGATGTCCCACTAAATTCTCTACGCAATACAGTGAAGAAGCATAAAATGCTAGACAATTCCGGACGGAGCCGAAGCCGCAAACCCAACAATCAGACGAAACGACAGGCGTCAACAACAAGCCCAAAGGTCCCAGATAAACCCCCAGGTAAACATCCTACTAATCATTCATCTTCTCAAAAGGGGAGGTGATATGTATCCACATATATATATTTATGTGTGTGTGTGCATGTTGGTCTCTCTTTCTGTTTGCTCGGTTAGTCTGTGACCACTTCACTTGTATGAACTTGTCTCCTTTAATAATGTGTATTCTCCTTATATTATATTATATATAATATGAGTGTTTGTTGACAGTCCGTTGCTTGGTGACATATATCCATATATGTTTGTTGGCATGTCTGCTATATTCGCTATGTATAATTGGATCGACACTCCATTATAATTAGCCATTCATGTTAAGACTGTCTAATGATTTTTCCCACGCTTGTCTGAATTATTTATATATATTCGCATTCACAATTTGTGTGAACTACTTTACTTTACAACTACTTTACTTACTTACCACTTTGGTGTGAGACCATTTATTTTCGTCTCCTTGTGTTTGGACAATAGAAGTATCATCGCAAACCTAGTGGTCTTCTGATTTCCGCCTTCTCGCGTCAGGACTATTAGTTTCTCGACCAGTCCATAACAATAATTCAGCGACGAGTACATAACAACTAAGCAAGATGGTTTAATTGCGAAGCTTTCCTTGTCTTTTTTTAGACAATATCTTCAGAGTAAACTTCAAGATGGAGATCGAGGTTTTACATCTTTACAGGGTACTACCAGATCATTCAGTTTAGATTTATTAAGTGTCACCATTTGTCTTATAAAAGTCATCTACAGTTGTTCATATCTTTCACTGCTTAATCAATGAAGCTTCCTATCACAGACTTTTCGGAAATATTCTTTGATAATAATTACTAGTAGATACAGAATGTTGACTGAATTGTTATTAGTATGTAGTTTACTAGTTTCATAATATTTTACACTGTAAAATGACATGAGATGTGTCATCTTTAAGATATATCTAAACATTTATGTATTTTTACTACTACTAAGGCATTCAGTGGCACAATTGTGGTCGAATCGACAGTCAAAAATATCTTACAGGATTTCATCATGAGCTGACATTGGTTAGAGAACCATTGGAAAACCTGGGAGTACTGGACAGCTGTTTTGTCCTAGCTATTTGGGACTCTTCGGCAGTACGCACCCACCGACAAGGTTCAAACCCAGGACCTTCTGGTTACAAGGCGAGCTCCTATACCGTTAAGCCACCGGGACCCGGTCCAATGGCCCATGATTTCCAACTTCTGCCAATTCACGATATAGCGCAACCGCTAGCCGATGTCTTCGGTGGCAGAAGTTAGAATTCAGGGGCCATTGGACCGGGTCCCGGTGGCTTAACGGTATAGGAGCTCGCCTTGTAAACAGAAGGTCCTGGGTTTGAACCTTGTCGGTGGGTGCGTACTGCCGAAGAGTCCCAAATAGCTAGGACAAAACAGCTGTCCAGTACTCCCAGGTTTTCCAATGGTTCTCTAACCAATGTCAGCTCATGATGAAATCCTGTAACCAATCAACCAAATCCCTACAAACCAATACTTGAAAAATACCTTAATACGAAAATCTAAATCAGCCGGCTTATGGGTTTAAAACTGATTGTCAAAACAACTTTTAAGTTTATTTTAACTTACTTAACCCTCATCACTAATGTAGTGAACCAAATTGTTGTACAACTTTTAACATCTTGGCACAATTGTTAGGCAGTCTACTACTCATACTTAAAGGTTACATGGAAAATAATTCATTGAAGGGAATAAGAAGTCAGACTATATACAGTCAGGTAAGTGTACAACTTGGGTACCGTAGTAGAATGTAATTCCACATTAGATAAGTTTATTTTAAATATCGCACACCAATGCAGTACTAAGAACTGAAGGATGTTTTGACCTTAAATCATTGCTCATAATCCTATCCATCAAAAGTAAGTTCAGAGAATAATTTTTAAACTAGGAATATTTTTCTACAAAATAGTGACTTCAAACATTTCGAATTTTTATTCATAAATTTATTTGAGAACATAATATCATGGCTGTGGTTTGACGGTAGAACATATCCACTGATTCCTAATATGGTTTTGTAATATCTCGTTGTTACAGTCATAAATAATTATACAAACTAGCATGAAGTGGCTTCAGGCTTTTATTTAAAGTTGCCTTCGCTGGCTCCACAGTGAATATCAGATGGCTGGAAAGCACCAACAGCGAGGAACTCTAGGAACGAACAAATCAAGAACCTATTGTCAAAAAAATATCCCGAAGAAAATAGAGATGGACAGGATACTTTCTGAGGAGACCGTCGAGAGACGTCGCGCGTTAAGTCATCGCTTGAATGAAACCTGATTAGGGAACGAGCATTTTGGATTTAGTCTGAGGATGATATAGAGGAAGCTATCTGAGATGGAACTGAGACCTTGTGTATAACCACGGAGCAAGCTAAAGACAACTGGGAAGAACAGGATTAAATAGGGATGTACTGTTTAAGCCCTATTTTCCAACAGGAACATTGGAACCTGGCAATAGCGAGAACGTAAAGTTCAGACCCATTGCCATCACTTCCCCATTTCTAAAGCTTATGGAAAAACTAGTACTTCTTAAACTCGAACCCTCCCTTAAAAGCTTTGAAGACCCCAAACAATTTGCCTACAGACAAGGTAGGAGTACTTTAGACGCTGCAGCCGTCTTACACAACAGTATCGTCTCATCATTAGGTAAAGGTGACAAATACGTCCGCCTCACGTTTCTCGACTTCACTTCTGCTCCCGACTCTGTACCTAGATGTCTCTTGGTAAATAAGCTCTCTATGACACAAACTGAGTCCTGGGTCACAAACTGGTTGCATGCCTACTTCTCAAACAGAATGCAGTATACCGTATACAAAGGTCAATCCTCCTCTGCTGTGTTCACTGAAGCTGGTGTCCCCCAAGGTGCTGTACTCTCCCCACTTCTCTTTTCTTTCTTTCTACATGACCTACCATCTTCAAATGGCGATAATTTTTTCAAATATGCTGACGACCTGACTGTATCTTTGCCTGTCAAATGTCAAAGTGACTGCTCTAAACTAAATGGCTTTTTATCAGAAATCAGCCAGTGGTCCAAGGAAAACGGTCTAACCTCAAATCAATCTAAATGCCAAACATCCAATTTCACCTTTAGGCATAAATCTGACCTAAACAAACTGGTTAGCACTCATGAGGTGTGCAACATTGATGGCATTGAAATAGAAACCAAGTCGGAAATTAAATATCTCGGCGTCATTCTATCTCCTGATATCTCTTGGTCGCCTCATATCTTGATGATTTCTAAGAAAATATTCCGTCTTACCTTCTACATCAATAAGTTAAGACATTCTGATATAACCCAACCCTTACTCCTACAATTCGTTAATTCTCTGATTCTGCCTATTATTCTCTACTGTTCCCCCTTAGTTTTTCCTGGGCTACTGAAGAAAGATTATACCTTATTACGCAGGATGTTAAAGGTTGTCAGCAGGGTAAGCAACGTGCCTGGTTAAGTGGCACACTTAACCAGCTTGTTAATATTCTGGTTGACAGGCACATGGACTCATGTGAAAAATGGGCAAAATCCATTTTATCCAACTCACACCACCCTCTTCATTCACAACTCTCCCCTTGTATCTCATCAGGAGAAACCAGAAGCCTATATAGAAAACCATATGCTCGCACTACCAAGTATAAAAACTCATCCATACCCTACTTAGCTCGTGTTCTGTGCGATAAAGAAAGTATTAGGCGTGATACCTATAACTTATTAAATAGTCAGTAGAACAACTAGATCTTGTCTTTCCAACTCATATCATTTATAGGCACAACGTTTTTCTTTCTTTCTTTTCCTTTTCTCTCTCTCTTTTTTCTGTTATGCGCAGCTTTGTTTCTTTCTTCTGCTTACGCCAGTAAATATGCTAGAACCCACTTTTCTAGCATCTTCAAACACTCTGTTTAATTTTTACTTTGCTACCGACATGCTAATATGTTGTTGTCAAAACCAACTGAGATTACCCTTAATCTATGTAGAATTTTATTTTATTGTTAATTTAATAACTGGATGCAATACTGTAGTGAAATGCTGAGAATTCCCTTCTGTATCGCAAGTACTGTTTTTGGAATAAAGCTATTATCATTATTATTATTATTATTACATAACCATAACTAAATAATCATTACTGACTGTTGTCATCATTTTAACTGTATGGCGAATAGGATTCCGCGTACTCAAAAATTTCATTTACCGACAGTTTATTTTGATTATCTTCTCCTTTTGTTTAACAAGGCGTTAAGAGCATGTCTGCCAACATTTCCATATGAGAAGAGAATATCAAAGATTGATACACTGAGACTTGCAATTGCCTATCTAGCACTTCTTAAAGATTTATTAGCCAATATGGATTCAATTGTAACAAATCAACCTATAAGAAGAGGTCAACTAGTGATACAATTTATGATTCAACGATTAAATTCATCTAAAAGGCATCATCTTAGCTGGTATACGAGTGGTAAGTAGAACGATATTCATCATTTGAAGTTAAATTAATGTAGAGTGAAGGTGAATAAGACTGAATGTTTGTTTCAATCCTAATACCATCTATTCATGACTACAAAAAAGATTATTTCTTATTATTTCTGTCAGTCGAAAGGAAACTACTGCTTAATGGTTAAGTCAACTTTATACTGTAGTGCATTGATGTTAATTACTGTAGCCATTTTTAACACTTAATAATACAAATTGTGCTGTAGTTATTGTTACCGCCTAACGACAGTTTTACCCTGATAATGATAACTTTTACACTTTTTTCTAACCGTTTGTATCAACAATTAGTATGAGCTGTTTCTATCCATTTTGTATTTACGTGAAAAACTCATCATCGAATTATAAGTACACAGGTGCTCTAAATGGCAATTTTTGTTAATGCTGGAGTTCACTTTTCATATGACGGGAAGCCATCGATAGAAACCCCTGGGACGAAATTTTGTGTTTTCTGGTAGTCATAAACAAGGCCTATCTGTACCATCAAAGGAACTGAAGGTACGGATACGCCATTTGTAATTACTGCCAACAATGATCAAACTTAGGTCTACAGCCTCTTGTCGACTGCATCCAGCCATGAAACAATTATTCAAAGTACAACTCAGAGGTGAGTGACTTAGGTTGGTGATTGTATTGCAGACTTGATAGATTGAAGTCAGTCAGCACTAACACCAAGGAGTAAAGATGCACGGCATTGGTTTCATCCTAGTGATGAACCGACGTAGAAATTTCATATTTTTATGTTAAATATATAATCAGAAATCCATAGAATCCCAAGAAATATTCTCAGCGAAATTCACAGCTGCGGAATTTATAATTACTGGGTCATGTTTTGAAAATTGTCGATTATTTTAAGATGTAACATTTGATTCTGGTGTTATTCGGTTGTGATTAAGTCAAATTAGATACACTGTCGATGATCTTAGTCCAAAAAGAGAGAAACAGCCATCCGGTGTTTAAATCACTTAGAGCTAGCTAAAAAGCCCTACTGGCTGATATGAGTGGTATGCATTAACTTATCTCAGTCAATCGGAAGTATATAGTTTTATGGTTTCCTGGTGGAACATAGCGCTTTATCGGCACATGTCCATTCCACTCTGTTTTCTGTCGACATTTTCAGCTGACTGCATGACAACTCAAAAGCTTTCATTTCTTCTTCACATTAATCTTCTACATGTTGTAGTCGGACACCGAACTAACTGCTTCTCATTCAGAGGCCTGCCTCTGATGTGATTCCTTTTGAAGATGCCATCAGTATATGTCCAAATCATCCGACATTTCTTAATGCATATTTTTTGGGCGGCAGACTGTTGGTTGTATCAACGTTAGATTCGCTTGTTGTTTATCCTTTTCGGCGAAATTATCTCTTGATGAAAGTCTGCAGCTTGGTGGAAATACTTTTGTTGATATAGGCGCCAATCTGTAAACCATATTAAAAGCACTGATTTGATATCGGTGTTAAAAAATCTACCGATAGATGTAGATATTCACAGTGATTTCTGATTAATAAATGCCTGTCTTGCTTTCCTTATCCTGAATGGCTTTAACAACCTCATCTGTGCCACCTTTAATGGTAACGATGCTGTCTAGGTCGTGTAAGTGAAAGATTTGATGTCCCTTAGATTTCACCTACTGATAATATTCGGTTTTCTCTATAATTAGTTGGGTACTTTAATCAGATCTCATTTCAACATTCCCCTGAAGCCCTGTCTTCACTGTCTGTTCTAAAAACTCGTTGATTTTCACTTATGAATTTCCGAGTTTGTGAGATATAAAGACAAAAATCATCTGCATAGACCAGGTCTTCTAGCATCTTCTTGTTGTGAATAGTGTGAAAAGTAATTATTTAATTTTGAATCATTGTATAAAAATAAGTTTTCAATTCCTGACCATAGTGAAGAAAGAATGCAGAAGAATAAAGTAACTACAAATGTACTAGATCTTCCTCATAATTGTTGAGTAAGACCTAACTGGAGGGACTCTTGGGGAAAAAAGAAACAACTCACATCTAAAGCCTGTCGACATTTATAAAGCATGCTAGCAAATAATCAGTCACGAGGAAGAACTGATACACGCAAAACACAGATCAAGGAAAAGATATAGAAGCTGAGGATGTTAAATTAACCAGATAAAAATGAAAATTACCATAATAATAATGATCATAATAATAGCCTTATTCTGGACAAAATGTCTACTCAGTGTACGGAGTCCTCAGCGTAATTGTTTGCATAATATTTTCTCTTCATCCAGGACATTCAAGTAAAATAGCATTCTGCAATATATTATGTAATAAAATGCAGTTCTATTTGAAGTATGAACTAATCTCTGATGACATTTTTCTTCCATCTCAGAGAAAAGCACATAATCAGTTAGAAAGCCAATTAAAATTGTGCATGATTACACTTTGCTACTGAATAAATATAAGTAGTTGAAATAAAAGAATTAAAGATAATACCATGCATTGTGTTGGATAGAAATTCAGGGAGTGCAGTGATTTAAACAGGCCGCAAGATGCAACCATTCTGAATAAATATACTTTTACTTCCATTGTTGTGCTATGTAATTAATTAACTCGACACAATTCTGTTCATAGTCCTAAATTTGACTAAAATCTTTCAGATTAACTACGCAAATATTGTATTCCATCAAATTTGTCAACCATTAATAGTGACAAAAAGAGATATTAGTATATCTTAATTCCACCGATAGGAAAACGCCAACCAATAACATCCTATTATCCTATTTCCTCTGATTTGATTAAATGGACCAAAGGAGTATCTCCTTCCGTATTCTGGTGCTAAAAGCACTGCAGGATGCTCTAGAAATTGTTGGTAAAGATATTTTCTGAAGTACACTCCTATGTTAAACATTGATTGCTCTATTCAGTGAAATATAGCATTATAAAACTACAAATATGTGGTAATATTGTAACGGAAGTAAACGTGAGACTTGGTGAAGGAATATCTATTTGGAATTGCTATACAGCGAAATTATGTACACCTTATCTTCAACACACGATCTGCACAGATCTTCCGTGTTGTGTTACTTCTGACCTTCCTTCATATTAGGTCTCTTTGTACCCCTTTCACGTCTCTCATATATCTCCTCAACGCTGAATCATTTGCTTTCCCTGCTGTCATATCTATCTCCCTGCTATTTGATATTTTTATGCCTACAAACTTTTCTTCATATACTACTGATAAATCTTATAAGTAGGACATGCCACAATATATTGGATGCAGTAGATCTTGAAAATAGTTTGAAGCTGTCAATATAACTGACCATTATAAAATCATATGAACAAGTGATACACCAAACAATTCAATATTTTACGAATTTGATTACCATATGAAGAAGCTTCTTAAATAGGAGAAAGTAAATGTATCCAGGAGAAAAAAGAGCTTATTTAATCTCACAGCCTTCGTGCGAGGACTTATATCCCAAGTTATCATAAATGTAAATGTATAACAGGAAAATCACTTCACTACGAAGGGCATTCAATAATTCTTTCTAAGTACAGTAATTGAACAAAAGGTATGAATACAAAACAGTTATTAAGTGAACAACAAGTGCCTATTTCTGTATACCCTTTCCATTACGTCACAGTCTTTACACAATTTTGATTTCCACTCACTGAACCAAACTCATTTTTTAATCTTCGAATTTACTCAATCTTTTCATGATGTAATGGTTTCACTGTCGAAGTGTTAGTTTGTAGGGATTTGATTAGTTTCAAGTTTGATATCAGCTACAAACCGTTGAAAGCTAAAGAAGCACTGGACAGTTGTTTCATCCCATTGTGAGACTCTTCACAGTGCGCACCTACGACACTATCGAGTATCGAACCTAGGACCTTCAGATGATGACTGGTGATTAGCTAAAGGATAAAATAACCCGCAGGTCTAGTGAGAAGTTGTAACCGCTAGGGTATACTGGGTCTGGTGTGAGGATAAACAATCACCGATTACACTGGCCCGGAGTCGCGCCATGTATCATGAATTGACAGAAGTTAGAATTGATTGGCCACTGGATTTCTTCCCAGTGGCAGAATCGTATATGAGCTAAATCTCAGATGGAATCATGTCCGCGTACTGCTGAAGGGTCCTAAACAAGAACGAAGCAGTTATCCAGTACTCCCAGATGGTTTTTCAATAGTTCTCTAACTAATATATCAACCGGTTATCAAACTTGAAACAAATCAAATCCCTATTAACAAACTCTTGACGATGATTCATCTTTTAAAAAAATTGTTTCTATTTTTACTTTTAGACTTAATTGCTCGCCTCAATTGGATACGATGGGATCGACTAGGTTACACAGGCACAATCGATTGGTCGTCTTCTTTACACTCAGACTGTCATCAATGAAAACCGCAATATTTGGGTTTTGCTTCTTTCCATTTTTAATTCTAGTTATTCAATTTACAAGCAGCTTTGCCTGCTTACAATGAAGAAAGACAAATTCTGATGTAAAAGTCACGCAGAACATTTAATTCATTTGGTTCTGTCAGTCATGTATAACCCTGCTGATGGTGTGATTCCATGAACAAATTTGCAAATACTACTTATGAATTTATCATTTTATTTATGCATTTTTTATTATTTCAATTGGTGGCATGGTGATCGGCATTGGAATTCAGGATGAGCACTCCATCTTATTTGGGCTCTTCACTGGATGTGCCTGTATCCCCTAGTGAGTGATGGTGTTCCCACGGACGCTCGAACTAAGCTCCCATAGTTTTAAATACCAAAGCATTATCCACTAAAAAGCCACTAAATTCTTATTATTTGTTAAGTTAGTTATTTTATGTATAATAAGCACTTCCTATTATTTATGATCCGATATAAGATGGTTGGAGGGAATTAGCAGAAAGCCCTGGATTTAGGTCTCGTGTTTGTTGGAGTCAGTAATCAACGAGGGAAATGTGAAGCCTAGAAAGGACTGGTGTGTCCCCTTGGAGATTTGATTCTGCATCACCGGGTGCTGCAGCCAACGACGTTATCACTGAGTGAATGGGGTTAAGAGTGACCCCGGTGTATCTAAGACATTTTGGACTTGTTAAATCTCCTCACCCCATACTTTATCAAACATTTCAACTAGAATCCCGCTTGCGTGTTGTTGCAATTTGCAGTAAGACAGACAGCCCTTCAAAGTCGTAGTTTATCACCTGAAAATTAGGTAATTAAAGTAGTGAACAATAACTCTATTTTATAATCTGATCCTAGTGTAACAACAGAAGACAAAGGCCAGGCAACAGGTATTTATAGACTTTCATGTACATTATTATGGATTATTGTAAGCAAACAAACACAGTCTTCTGATTGGTGATTTCTCGCTGAACGTTAATCTTTCATCTCTTTGTGACCGTTTATTCAAGTTCATATTATCTACCTGCTAATTGTATCCGCCTACGCAAAGTCTGCTGTGATTGGTTGTTGAGTCAGTCTTTGTTCTTATTTTTCTCACGACGTAAACATTTGAGGTGAATTACCATCTACCAATTTGGCTAGTAACCAGCCCTCACCACAACTAGTAGGTCTTTCAAAAAATATATGTGGAGCTTTTTTGTTTTTAAAACTACTCATATTACTATTTCCTAATCATAAAATTTTCAAATTTCGTCAGTATGCTGCTTTATACTTCTAAATGGAAAGATCTCAAACAAGCTTAACAATTTCGGCAAAACTAATTCTCAGGTTAAAGTGTTTGAAAAATTACATAATCAAATCAAAATGAAACTCATATGCCTAGGTTTGGTTGTAATTATTCCAACCGTTAGCCTCCTCCATATAAAATACAAACTCGTGTCATGTGTAAGATGATACTCGGGGTCTGGACTCTACTGACTTCTAGCTTAACGACAGGGAGTGAAGTGGTTGAGCGTACTGGTCGCCTTAATTACTTCGAAAATGCCATCAGCCCCAATGGACTGGTTGCTGATGAAATCTCAATACGGATACAAAAGGCTCATGTGGCATTTACTGGCCCGCATCGTCTCTGGCGTAGATGCGATATCTAGTTGTCTATAAAAGAACAGGTACACTACGCAGTATTTCGCTTTGTCTTCCTTATGGACTGTAAGACATGACCATTGAAACTGGAGGATATGAAAACGCTGGCTGTGTTTGATCATAGGTGTCTGCGTTCTATCTGCCATGTTATGTGGCATAATAGGGTGACTAATATTGAGGTTAGTTGGATAGGACATGTATTGTGCATCCCGAACCATCGCCTTTCTAGAAGAGGAATGTTAGCCAACATAAGATTAGGTTGGAAAAGACTTAGGGGTGGTCACACTGAAACCTGATTTCATGTCCATGAAGTCTTTGACAGCTGATTTGAGCCAGACACTTAGGGAGGTGCAGGCTACCTCATTTGGGTCATTAGGATTCTAAAAATCAACGGCTCAAGACTATTGGCAATATGGCTCAAAATCATACTCAATGGCTCAGATGGATTCAATCTTTGTGATCCCCCATATCCATTAATTCTTAATTTTTTTCCCTTGCCGCTATTCTTTATCCCTTACATTTATACTTATCATGGTTCTTTGAGTCTCTTTTTCCCTTGTCTATATTTATGTGCTATATTGAATGAAGCAGCCTGAATGAACTAATACGCTTCTGTGTTAAGTGCTACGTTGAAGCTCAGTCAATCAATTAAACAATGTGAAGACACACTAGTTGACTGCCTTTGTTACTACTAAAACAAAGCACAAGTGCTGCGTAACATGGAAGATAGCTGTTGTTTGACGGAAACGTTATCTAATAATTTACAGAATATACAATGTTCATTAAAAAGGTGACTACCCACCCCCTTTAAATGCATTTAGTGAATTTTCTCTGAGGATCACTTTTTTATTTTAATTAAAATATTTTTGTGGAGTACGCCTTCAGTGTAACTACATTTGAACATCTTGTTTTTATATGGACAACTTCTCAGTGGAGATTTATCAAAACGAACGATCTGTACGAATATTCTTGGTGCATAGTCATCAGCATCTTATGCTAAGATAGCTTCGCAGTTTGAACATGTTTTCAAGTGTTGGTTTATAAGGATCTGATTGATTTCAGGATTTCATCATGAAATGACATCGGTCAAAGAACCATTGGAAAACCTGGGAGTACTAGACAGTTATTTCTTCGTTTTTTGGGACCGTTCATCAGTACGCACCCAGCACAAAGATTCGAACCCAGAGAAAGCAAAGGACTCACCGTTGAGGAGAAACATAGGAGACGTGAAAGGAACACAACGAAACACGATATGAAGGAAAGGCAGAAGTAGCACAACACAGAAGATCTGTGCAAATCGTTTGTTGAAGATAAGGTGTACATAATTTCGTTATATAGCAATTCCAGATAGACACTCCTTCATCAAGTCTCGCGTCTTTTACCGTTACCTTAGCACTAGATTGTTAATTTAGCAGGAAATCACTGTGACATATTCCTTTAGAAAGTATTAGATGCATCACCCCCTAAATGAGAATACTTGTGTATAATACATTATTGTCAATACTGGCGTAAATTCCAAGTAGAAAATAGGGATTCAGCAGCAAATCTCCGTTCCATCCTGTTTTCCCTAGTGGTCTTCAACCGGCTCCACGATTGCCCATTGGTGCTCATCTCCTCCTTACACGATCTCTTCCATGTCACCATCGGACACCTAACTCGTTGTTTCCCATTACTGGAGTGACTTCCTTCAAAGCTCACCCGTCGGTAGTGATTGGTGCTTGTTGTTGTTAGTTGGTGAATAGCTTCAATAACTCTGTCCTCTCTACGTTCACTTGATATTTGCCTTTCTTTACCTCTTCGGCCAATTTGATGGTTTTCGCCAGTAGATTATCGAATTTGTGTGACACTAAAACATAAGTCATCCACAAGTTCCTAGCTTCAGACATTGTGCGAACATCCAATGTCCCCATAGTCAGTTTTGGTTTCAGTGAAAGCAGACACATCAGCTAACTGGCTTCTTTTTATTACAGCTTGATTCCACACTGAATTTTCGGTACAAGTATGGAATTTTCAGCATGTGATATCGGTAGCCCAAATTTTCCAGGCTGACCACTGATATCAGGTGGGCATCAGAAGGGGATCGAACCCTGGTCCATGTGCATGGTCGGCGAGATTTTTAACCACAATGCCACCGGCTTGTCGAAGACTTTCCAACAGCAGCCGGAGCCATTCAGCCTCTCCGATTCCAGCGAAGAATAAGGTTACTTTTGGAATATTTTTGTTTTGAGCTTTGAAGTTTTTGTAGTGATTGGACTGATTTTCCAGGATAGAGTTACAAGCCCAACACCTTACCTTCTCTCTTTTTCTCGGTTTAAAACCATTTAGTAAACTAAACAAAGTTATAGTTTAGTACTTAGTAGTACTTAAAAACCCGTCTTATATATAAACTTTACAGAAGTATACTGTCATCGCAAATCTAGACACAGTACGTACGAAGTTACTCAACTTACATATATATATATATATATATATATACTGGCTAATTGTTTTCAACATAGAACTTTGCACAAAAGTGTAGCACTTAGTCGAAGTGGCCAAACTCCGCGCAGTACACAAAAGTAGACAAAAAAAGAATGCTAGGCAGAAATGTGAGGGAGAAAGAAAAGTACCAGGCGTGATTACAAAAATAGTGAATGTATCCGCACTCCTGAGAACGAGGATTTCGAAGCATGTCATCTCCAGTCATAGGCTCTTAGTATCCCGAGGACCTCAGCCAAGTAGTCTACATCTTTCTACCTGACTAACTCAAACCAACTGTCAAATATTTCATGTAATGATAAAAAAAGTTTGACTTGTTCGCCTACCTAGTTGTTTTCCAACCTGATTCTATATCGGCGGTGAAGATGATAACTAAGCATACCTAATCATATAAATACTGAGAGAAGTCTATACAAATATTCTGGGGGGCGGGGAGGAACGACATGATTCCAATAACAATATAGTAGTAAAATTTCTTTTTTCTTTTCATGTTTTGTTGTTTATATTAAGATAAAATGATTGTTGTTCAAATACAGCGCATAAATTATTGTTTAACACATGGTTAAAGTCAATGAACATGAGGTGGTTATTTTGACAAACAAAAAAGCAATGAACATAGAAAGAAGTTAAATGGCAAAAATAGTGAAATGATAAAATGAAAACAAGATGAAAGATATCATCACAATGACTGACTAACTTTCGTTGATATTATTTTAAAAAATGAATTATTCTACTGGATTGTTTTTCTTTCGAAAATCACATAAATAAACGCAAAATGTCATGCCCGGTGACGAGATATAAGCAATAAATAAATAAATAAATAAACAAATGAGTGACGAAGCAAATAAAAATATTAAAGAAAGATACATATTATTAAAAAATGGCAATTATGACCAAAGAAAGAAAAAAAAATACTGAGAAAAAATGAATGACTAACTTTGGCTTGAGGTAAGAGATTGCGAAATGCAACAAGATGAGATTCCCATTTAAGTCCAAAAGCTTATCACTAGAGATCTGATACCTGTCATTATGATATGAAGGATCCTCTGCGAATTGACTATTTAATGTGCCTATAATTCATCATATAAATGCTTTTAGAGGGAGGGAGGGGAGAGAGTGTGTGTGTGTGTAGGAGTTTAAGATAACGGATTAGTGGTCAATATACAACTGATAGGTATAATTGATTGATGACTAGGCTGTAAGGTTTGTGAAGTGAATTCAAGCGTTGGACTAGTGAAACTGAACGTAGAACCGGGATGAATAGACATAATCGGGACTGGAAGAAAACCAGAGACAGTTTTTAAAGAACACGGTGAAATAGTTGGTATAGTGATGCATTCAGGCGTACCGTCAATTCGATTGATAGTATTGCTACTATTTGCAACAGTAATAGTCATAGCAGGAGTAATTGTACTGGTGTTTATTCTAAGTGTTTGTGGTAAATTATTCTCCGGTGGTTCTATTTTATAGATACGATCACTGAGGGTTACAGGTGTTTGTGTATCAGGAAGATTAACTACTCTAGGAGTATCAGATTCACTATTGGTGCTACAATCAGTAATTTCTGATTTCGGAGGTAACGGTTTAACCGGGAAATCAGGAACAATCCATACCCATTCTTCTCGTGTACTGAGTGACCAGGGACAGGAACGAGCACGCATAAACTCTGGAAGAGAAGCACGTAACTCATCATTGACATGTGCAGAAGCGACCTAGAATTTTAGAAGATAAAAGAACGAGCAAGTTTACGTCATATGAATACAATATGACATCAGATTCTGAAAAAAAAGCAAAACGATAATAATGTAAAGCGCTTACCTGTAATTCATTAAAACTAGTTTTACAACCAGAACAAATGAAACTGGTTGCCTTTTCTCGACTATTTTCACTAGTAGATACTGGTTGATAACGCAGATGTAATTCAATGGAACGAAAAAGAGCAGCTTCTACACGTTTAGCATCTTTATAGTGAACACCTGAACGGATACGCATACCATCAGCAAAATATCGACCTATTTGCCTTTTTATTTGTTCTGACAATCGTCCATATTGTGATAAATCATTTTCAATTTCTTTCTGCAAAAAACAAAACAGCAAATAGATGTGAAAGTTAGAATATTCAATGGAAAATACAGAACTTTAACTTATTATGGCAACATACTGAAAACTTTGACTACAGAAATTACCACTCCACATATTGCATTTGATTTCTCCTGTTTCCTTTATTTGAATCATTCTAATATGCTACCGGATCGTATTGATTGTTTTCGCGGATATTTTACAACTACTCAATTCACAAATGTCTAATAAACTTAGAGAGAGAGAGAGAGAGAAAAGCATGCTAGTGGATGGAAAGGTGCTCAAAAGGGAATACTAATACATCGGATTACTATCCGTAAACTTAATTACAAGAACAGAACTCTCCCAGAGAATGTCAAATACCTACAATAGCTCTTATCATCCAAAATCTACCATAATTTGAGTATAATGACAACGTTTTAAGAAACCTGGCTTTACGATTCCTACGATGACAATTCAGTCTGTTTTGTTCTGAGAATTTCCTACAGTCTAGCGGTTAGGATTCCTGGCTCTCATTCAGGCGGCCCGGGTTCGACTCTCGGCGGGGAGCGCTTATTGCGTCAGTGGCACAGCAGTTAGGACGCTTGCACATGGTCCGGGATTCAATCCCCGGCCGACGCACACCCGACTGCAAAATTTGGGCTACCAATATCACATACTGAAAATTTCATACTCCTATCAAAAATACAGTGTGCAGCCAAGCTATAATAAAATTTTAAAAAAAGGTCAGCGTTTGCAATAAAGCCATTATTATCACTATTATTATGAGATATAATGATTACCGTTGGGCTAGTAGTAGGGGTTCAATCTCCGGACGATGCACTGTCGAACCTCGCTAAGCCGGTAGTAAGCGCAGTAAAGAGAGGGAATCGGGCGAGAGGCTTTCAACCCCACCGCGTAAAGATTAAAAACAGTCACCAAAACTTCAAAATACAAGCTTCAAGCCCTTTGTTCCACTCGGAACTCAAAACTGTCACCTTGAAATTTAGTCATTTCAGTGAAGTAGAAAAAAATATCAACTCAACTTGTAATACAACCCACAGAAATCAAATTAAGAGTTAATTTAGTAAAACGATATATGTAGCCTTAAATATTCAGTCTCGCCGAAACTATCGGACCCTCTCTAAGACTAAAAGAAAGGGATAAATAAGACTTTCGAAGCGATGGTGAACAACACCTGTCTAAACATAGCGATACTTTTGTTTTCCTTCTGATAAAAAGTTTTAATAAGACTTGACAAGCAATTTTTAGTGGGGCAGTTCACCTAACACAACCAAAACCACATTCTAAACATTATACAGAATAAGATGGGAGCAGTTGCTTCAAAGCGTTGGCATAGCATTGTTACTCAACTGCTCACCTTATCACACCTCATTTCTAAATATCAGTAGAATGAAAGAAAACGAGGTGAAAAAAAATAAAATAATAAAGGCCAAAGACTGCTGTGCAAACAACCAACAGTTTATGCATAAGTAGTAAATCAAGGGAGCTTACTGCAAGTAGATGCCTTGTAACAGCATGGAAAACCACCTCCGTACGACCACTGTAGATAAAACGTTTGCAAACTAAGCAGATGAACTTCTTATCAGATCGCGCGATCAACTTCGACCAGTCTTGCCAAATCACACGAGGCTGTTTGCCAGTAACACTTTTATCAGATTTTAAAGGAGACAACTTTGGATTAGAATCTGAAGATACAATTTCAGTTGTTTGATGAGAAGGCGACGTACTGGATGTCATCTCGGTGAATTGTTTTTCATCAGAGTGCGTAGATGGTGGGCACGTTGTGTTAGATTCTTTTCTTTCAGGAACAGTGTTTTCTTCACATTCATCATCTGATTCACTTGAACAGTGAAAGTCATCAGTATCAGATGTACCTAATACAATACGCTGTGCCATGATCGTCGGCTTAAAACAAAGTAAACATTGAAAAATGAAAAGCAACTGTACATTTTCAAAATAAAATCTTATTAATTAAGTTATTTGGCAACTTGTGCAATAAGTTTCTTATCGTACTATACTTGTAAGCCGATGAGCCATAGTGTGAAAATGAAATTAGCAATTACTCGTTGTCAAAAACACTGGGTAGCTCTAGATAACACAGAATATTTTGATCCCGTCATCCACTATGTTAAACTTACAGTGAACTAGTAGACTAAAATTCATTGCTAACTGAAGCCATTGCGAAGCACTCCAAAGAAGTCAACACAAGTTAACAATCAGCTAAATGTTTTTTCAAAGCCAATTATCTCTGACATGTGAACAGAAAGGCAGATAGTTTGTTCATAAAGTTGACGTTTAGTAAATACGATAATTGTGGATTCGGAAAATTGTTTCTTCCCAACTTGAGGCTCTTCAGTATTACGTATCCACTGAAGGTGGAACTTAGGAGCCTCCGGTTGAAAGGAGGACTTGTAGACGCATCCAGTTACTGTGGCCTGATCCAGTGGATTCAAACTTCTGTAATCCGCTACATATGTAACGCCACCGCCAGCCAATGTCACTGGTCAGTAGCTATCCTTTTACCTGACTTGGTAGGTCCAATTATATCGACTGGCGGCTGTGCTATATAGATCGCAAATTGGTAAGAGTTTGAATTCACAGGCCACTGGACCAGGTTATAGTGACTGAGTGGCCTATGAGCTCGCCTTGTGACCCGAGAGTCCTGGGTTTGAACCCTAATGGCTGCATAGTGATGAGCAGTCCCAAACCAGGACGAAACAGCTGTCCAGTACTTCAGACAGGTTTTTCAATGGTTCCCTAAATGATGTCAACTCGTGATCAAACCTGCGATCAATCTAATCCCTGTAAACTAACACTTGAAACTTAGGGATTCACATGACAAAACCTAACATTACTGTATATTTGCAAGTTGAAAATCTATATTCACACATTCAGTCAAAAACTGGAACCTCATAATGATGAAAACAACCTACTTTAGGCCACAGGGATTAGTTTTAATTATGATAATTCGAAATTTTGAAATGCATTATGCTGATTCTGTTCTAAATTACAAAGTCTTTCAGTTAATAAGGTGGTAGAAAACTTGTAGTGGTAAGAATAAACATATTCTCTTTACCTTTATTGAAAACCATTGTGGTTAGCAGTATTGGATTACAAGTATATGAACTGACAGTATTAATAAAAGTAACAGTAGTAAAATTACGCAAGTAATCATATAATTCAAATAGACAGCTAATATGATGTGCGGGGCAGTAGTAAGTATGCGTTAACTGTTAAGTTAAATTTTTTTACCTAAATGCTATTAGAAAAAATAGCTTCTTATTTTACACTCTCGTACATAGGCTAAATTTCTTCACACATCACAACCAATGACGGTTGACACATCTCAATTCACGAAAATGTACGTCAACTAAACTAAAGGCTGAGTTCAGTAATTCAGTCTTCCTAAGGTTCACACTTTAAACCTATGCCAATATGCAACTAGTATTAGAAGAAATATATCAGGAAGACCTTTAAGACGTTTATAACAATGAAAAGAGCTTCAAAACTATTACTACCTTTGGCTTGAGTAGATTTAGATTCATATACAAGACTTTCACTTGAATAGATAGATGCTGATTACAAATTTCTAACCCCATCAGGGCTCGAAGATTTGAATGGTTGGCTTTCAACAAATTCCTTCGATTGAACAATCAGTTAGTGTTACAAACCCTCACATATTGGTTAAAGCTACTTGTAAGACACATGCACATTCATGCGACCATTCAGTTACGTAGTGACTTTTTTCTCTAAAAGGAAATCTTTGTCAGTAATTCCTCTACACTTAATTAACTCAACGAATACAACTTTATACAATAAATAGAACTTTTCAAGCCTAAGATTTTTCCTTCTTCAGAAAATAACAATGTATGCAAGACAGAAGACGCCGTAAACAGACTAGCTGTTATTATAAATTATTTAAATTAATCCCAGCGTGTTAAAAAAATCAAAACAAGATTTTTCTGAACGTTTCGCCGTGTAAGCCACAGCTTCTTCAGCAGATTTATTCGGATGATTATTACTTGTGGCTTACACGGCGAAACGTTCAGAAAAACCTTGTTTTGATTTTCTTAACACGCTGGGATTAATTTAAATAATTTATAATAAATCAATCTGACTCGGCGCTCAAATTATTCCAGGAAGTTCGTAACACCCAGGGTCTGGAAACCTATAAGACTAGCTGTTAGGTTCGTCATCTTGGACTGAGTAATGAAGTCTGTAAGGCACTAAAATATCTGCAGTGTACAGGAGACGTAAGTTTGATCAGAGTAGAAATAGGGATGAGAAACATGTAATTTAAGAGCCATGTATAGTTTTACGTATAAGATTATGATCACAAGAAGTAATATAAGTGGTCGTGTAGTGCTACTAGAGAAGAAGGGGTGAATCAAATAAAGATAAATATAAGACGTAAATGCATTTGCGTCACTGTCATAGACCTCAAGTCATATCGTTTAGAATCTAAAACCCTAAGTCTCCGTTGTAAATATGCCTTATGCTTTACAGCTATATGGTAAGGACGATGAAAGTGGGCATAACAGCATTACATAGTTTTGCCCGCATGTTTTTTTATAGCATTTCACATGTTAATGAAAACCAACTGATGTGAAATACTGACATTTCAAGCAATGTAAGATAAAGAAATAAGTCAATCAATACGGTTTAAACCCGTGTTTATTAACTTTAAGAAAATAAAAAGGTGAAATCTGATTCCAATTAGTAGAAACACTAATACACTCATTTCAATTTGATGATTCGCCTTTCAGATAAACTTCAGTACCTTGTAATGATTTGCACTCTATCAAATTCAACATTTATTAGCATCTATGAGGAGAATCGATGAAAAGCACCTCAGAAGAATATTTTCCCAAAAACGTTATTAAAATTGAAAACATTTATTTCCCGATACGAATTTAAAACAAGCAATAAAGGTTAATAAAGCAGGATTTAATGAATTCATCAAATTTCGGTAGAACTCGTCAGCTGAATACTCTACATACACGAATATATATACTTTTGAAATTATTATTATTATTAAAATTATTGTTAGTTGTCGTTAGAACTCTGTTACGCAGAATAGAGTTTAAATGTAACAGGCTATGATCCAAAGTAACTGGATAACGGTTGGTGACAATACCCAGATGTCCACGCAGAAGTAGATGAGGCAGAAGTAAAGCGCGCAACCAAAACGTCCAGTGCTTAAAACAATGAGTCGAACGCCTATTTTAATTAAAAAAGCCTAATGACACGCCACAACTATTCACTGCCCCTACAGTGCTGTAATTTTGCTATATACATATTGATGCAAAACATTTTGTTTGAATGGGAAGTTTTAATCAGTTAACTTACAGAAAGCAAACTACATAGTGGCCAGTAAAACAGTTTTCCGAACACCAAAAGTAAAAATTCTGGCATTTTTATCATTCACCACATCTTTTGATGCATTACACTATGTATTTGACTTACAACTAGCAGGCCACCGGTTCGAACCCGATCACACCGATGTTCTGGCGGCTAGATGATATCACTAACCTCCAGAAGGACGGTGTGCCTTTTGGGAAATATATAAACATACCTGTAGTTTTCAGGTAATACTTCAGTAACTATACATATATATATATAAACATAATTCCTAGGTTGAAGACAAGGAGCACCACTTTTTTCGAGAGTCTTACAAGTCAAAGTGAACTGACGGCTGAATAAGGTTCAAAACAAATAAGAATATTCCAAGTCGTATTATGCTTTAAAGCTACAAAGCATAGACAGCTGTTTTCATTGCATTTCTCAGGTTAATGGGAACCAATTAGTAAGCAACACTGATATCCCACTCGGTGTAAGGTAAGCAAGATAAGTCAGTTAATAAGCTCGTAAATCTACACCGATGGAGTTGCCTGGAATGTGTTGTACGACCTAAAAACACCAATATTAGTGGCTAGCAACGTTGACTGAAGTATTTAGCATGATAACGAGGAAATATGATATGAACAAATTAATTTACTGATTTTTGATCTGAACCAGGTACGAAAGAGTAGTTTGCATAGTAACCGTACCAGGAACAATTGCTGATTTTTGGTGACATGGTCACATGTATCTAGAGTGATCTTTATTTAATTATTCAACTTCTCCAGACTCATTTATAGTAGAATCCTACTTTTTAGGGTATTCAGTTGTTTAAGCGCGTCGGTGGCACACCGGTAGAATGCTGGCAGGTGGTTCGAGGTTCGATCCCCGGCCGACGCACCCTTTTACCTCGCTAAGCCAGTAATAAGACTGGCAAAGAGAGAAGGTCAGGTATGAGGCCAGGAACCCCATTCCGTAAAAATTAATGCCACCGCTACCTAAACTTTAAGCCTCTAGCTGGGAGCCGTATGTTCTACTGGGAACACAAAGGAATAAAAAAGTGCGGCAACATGAACTATGCACTGCCTTACATTCATTTATACATAAGCCTACCCAGTAGATAATTTCCATACGTAACTTGACAGATATAAATATACCATAATGAGGTTTCTGCTCAAGCAAGTACAACTTCACAAGTGAAAGACATTCCAGACAAAACTGTAACTATACCTTAAGGTCTGTAGAATGAAAGATTTGAAGATGATCTTTTATTTGAACCTGGTTGGTTGATGATGCACCACAAGTGGAACACGTAAAAATGTGCAGCTCAAAGGGATGACTTGACATATCTAGGTGAAAAACCATAATATGTTTCCGAAGTTCAAAGGATGACGCGGTGTAATATTCACACTCAGGACAACATAGTGAAGGCATTGCATTAGACTGTGAATTCTGCTGACTTTCTCCCACTACATCCAACATCCGTAACCTTGAACTGAAAAAAGAAATGTTATTAGAAATAAAAATTAAAAGCAGTCAGAGAGAAGTCGGATTAGATTTCACGCTTATATTATTTAATGGCTTTCCATGAAACACATGAACTCTGTTAACTTGCTCATAATCTCGTTATTTGCAGTTTCACTTTCAAGGCCAAAAGTTTTACTTTGTTCTTCTACAAAATTTCCAGGTCGGGAAATAAAGCGACCATCTGTAGATATTTGCCAACTCTTCGACAAAAAGTGTTTAGAAATATCTTCTGAGGATATACACAAATAGTTGCATAAAAAGTCAATGGATACACAAGAATATGCTTGAGTAACAAGGTGTGTAATCTGATCTATTTGTTTATCACGGATCTGCCTCACCATTTGAACAAGAATATCAGACTGTTTGGGGTCTGAAAATATCTGTGAAACGGAGGAAAAAAATAATTTAATATCATTCTTCCATAGTAAACGACCAAGGTCCCAAAGGCACTTTATTGATTGATCTTCTTTTATATGATTGGGCATTCTTTTATACAAAAATTTTGCATTGATCAAATCGCATTTTATTAAATATATTCCTAAGTATTGTAAATAAAACTCAACGAGCGAAGGAGTAGCCAGAGATGTTGGACAGGATTTTGAATTAAAAGACGGCGTATCCAATTCAAGTTCAAATGCGATCATCTCAGAAAGCTGTTCATCTAGAGCCGAGTACTCCACCGACACCATTATTTTCGCTTAGTAACGCACACTGCAACTATTGCGCTACAAAACTTTGACCTTACAATATCCAATGTACTAGTGACTAGTTAGAGCAATTCATATTTTTCGCTTTGTCACTTGAAGTCCTGGAGATCTCGCGAATCAAGTAGTATTCCTCCTGTTTTTGCTCATCTTAATGTCCTCTATGATTGTGTCAATGCGAGGGACAGGTAAGAAATCGCGCACTGCGTAATGGCGTTCAGTTCACTATTAATAAATAAATAAATAAATTTATTCTCATGATACAGTACATGAGGGACGCCAGTTTACAGGCATCATCAAATTGTTACAGAAATAGGACCATATTATTCAGTCACAATTTACAATCGATAGCAAAATATGTTTAACATGTACACTGGAGATTATACATACACTTGATAAATATTCATCATAATGGTATAAAACATCCTTTTCACTTATGTACAATCATTTCTGTGCATAGTTGGAAAAATCCGCTAGATTGTCAGTGAGTGCAACACATCAGGAAATACAGAAGTATTGTCTTCGCATTAACAAAAAAACCAGGTCTTTGGTGGATGGGTTATAAGTGCCTGGGAAAAAAATAAAGCTTGAAGTCAGTTTTCATACATAATTTTGTTGTGTGCAGAATCCTTGAATTATAGTTCATTGATGTGTTATTTTGAAATCAGTGATATGTTTATCTCATTTGATCTGCAATGTCATTGTTGGGAGTAAAATACATAAGCTTTAGACGCATTAATTAATGGATTTCTACTGCTTGTGGGTATTTACTTCTCGTGAGGAAGGTTTTTGAATTTTAGTTGTTCCGACAGGAGTTGTGGATATTGACTGCTCAGCAACATTACGGATATAAGTTCATCACATTATCTCAGGAATGTTGGGTTGTAGTTGGTGAGGCATATATGATGTCCGACGAGCGTACATCTGTCCATGTGATGTTGTGGTGAGTTATATCTTTTTCATGTTGTCGGTTTATGTCCATTTTATTCCACTTATTGTGTTGGGTAGAAGTTTTACAAACGAAACTTCTTGTCTGTTTGAGGGTAAGTATCTTAATCGTTAATGTTTTATCTAAAATTATAAATATAGGCAAAAACAACAGGTGTAGTATTTGAGCTTATACATTAAATGGACCTATAATTTCGGAGGCTCTCAGATAGGAACTAGGACTACTGTCGTTTGCAAACTCGTGTAGTTTGTCGTTAAGCACTTTTTTGAATGAGGCCAATGTACCTGCTTGACGCATTTCCATTGGTAGTTTATTCCATATCTGTGCATACCTAATCAAATAAAACTTTTGCCTGGTAGCTGTTTTACATTGTTCGATAGCTACTGTACCCTTAGTGTGTCTTAGTTTGTAGCCACTGTCATCTGAAAGTCGAATGCCATTAGTAGAGGTAAAAACTAAGTGGTTTAGAAGCTTATAGTAAAGTGTTAAGTTTAGTCTCAGGCGTCTTAGCCATAGTGTTTCTAATCCTAGGGTGTCACATCTAGTGGAGTAGTTCGCACCATTTTCGGTTCCGAGTAATTTTGACGTGAAGTACCTCTGCACTCCCTCGACTTTCAATTTGTCCTCTATGCGTATACTACTATACATGAATGAACAGTAATCAAATAAAGGACGCACACAAACCTTGTACAACAGAATTCTGGACTCATTTCTGTAAAAGTTCCTGAGTAGAAAGCCGATAAGTCTGCGTGACTTTGACACTTGTTTGGAGATATGTTCAGAAAATGATAAGTCATGTGAGTATTTCAGTCCTAGGTCCAATACAGATTCCAGTCGTAAGAGTGCATGGCCTTGAATTGTCAGGTCAAGTTCTAAATTGTTGCAACCTATGCAGAGCCAGCCACATTTGTCGACATTAAACTGGAGTTGCCAGGTGTCACACCATCTGTCCATTTTTTCTAATTCTTGCTGTATGGCGTTTACTGTTATTCCGAGATCTGTGTTCTTGCATTTATAGGTCACTTTTAAGTCATCTGCATATAGTATTGGTTTACCAACACTAAAGCATTCACAGATACTGTTTATATATATTATGAATAGGAGTGGGCCTAATACACTTCCCTGGATTACACCACTACTTACTGGTTTAGGCCTTGAGATTATCGAGCCAACTTTTGTTATCTGATTCCTGTCACAGAGAAATGATTTTATCCAGCTCAGGAGAGGGTCACATATCCCTAGTGAGCATAACCTGCTGACTAGCAGATTATGGGGGACTCTATCGAAGGCTTTTGTTATATCGAAATATAGCACAATTACTAGTTCTCTGTTGTCTCTGCTTCGTGTAACTTCATTGAAAAAGTCTATGTGACAAGTCACACATGATCTCTTTTTGAGGAATCCGTGTTGTGATGGATTGATAAGTTCATGTTCTAGTAAGTTGTCTGACACTTGGTCTTTAACCACTTTCTCCATTATTCGTGATATTACCGGTGTTATATTAATAGGTCTATAGTTGCATGCACTGGTTTTGGCCCCTGCTTTGTGCTTAGGTAATATGTATGTGGTTTTCCACACTTCAGGATAAGTTCCAGTTTCCAGTGACAGAGTAAATATTCTAAGTAACAAGACTACCATTTCCGTGCTACCATTTTTGTATATGACAGATGGTATGTCGTCTGTTCCAGTACTGCCATTTGACTTCAATGTCTTAATCGCTGAGTCTATATTTTGTATATTAAAATCTATTTCTCCTAATTTGTGGTTACTTTTGCAGGTCATTTGGAAATTTGGGGTCGGGTGCACTCTGGTGTCATTGCAAAACCACTCACTGAGGAGTTCACTTATAACCTGGGGATCGTTGTGTATTACACCCCTATGTTCCAAGATGCTTACATTATTGTCTTTACTGCTTTTTAGACGTTTTTGCAATATCCTACAAAGTTCCTGAGTTTTGGTGTTACCCATTAGCGCTTTATTTTCCTCATGTTGTGACTTCATTTTGTGTTTCTCTTCAAGCAGTTTAAGAGTTTCATGTATTTGGTTTAACGCATTAAATTCCTTAAATACATGGTATTTCCTTTCCAATTTCTTTAGTTTTAGTCGCGTTTTCCGGTCAATAAATGGAGTTGGTGTCTTTAGGGCAGATTTTAGGGGCGCGATTGTGTCTCTTGCTGAGCCAACTGTTTTGTAGAAAATCTCAAGTGATACTTCTAAGTTATTGTTGATGAAGTATTCTTCCCAGTCAGAACTTCTCAACAGATCTGATAGGAATTCCCAATCAGCATTCTTATAGTCCCTATATTGATAGCGCACCGGGGAATTTTTAGGTGTGTATTTAGTTGTTAGTCGGAGGGGTAGCGTGCAGTACAATATGTTGTGATCACTGTTATCGAGTTTATTTCCCACCTCTATCGAGATGGGCTCTATGTTATGACAGAGGATTAAGTCAAGAGTATTTTGGTTCCTTGTAGGGAGGCGCACGCACTGCTTCCATCCTCCTATGTCTATAGCTTGTAGTAGCTCTTCATGGATTCTTGGTCCTGTACAGGTATCCCAGTTTACTCCAGGTAAGTTGAAATCTCCACATACTACTTTGTAGTCGAAGTCCAGCGTGGCTACATGCTCTAGTATTTCTGCAATAGTTATATCAGTCATTTCAGGGCTATTGGGGGGTCTGTATATACATCCCACGAGAATTTTACTTTCGTTTGTGTGGATGCTTATCCACTTAGATTCTGGGAGTTTGTCAGTATTTGGGTTATTGAAAGTATTGGAGTTAGTGGATTTATAGGCATATATTAAGCAACCGCCTCCTCTTTTGTCAACTCTATCGTTCCTATAGATGTCGTAGTTGTCTATTACCAGCTTTGTGTCAGGTATATCAGTAGTAAGCCAGGTTTCAGTCACCATTATTAGTGTTGGCCGTTCTATGTATGCCAGGCAGCGAAGCGTTGTTATTTTATTAAGGAGAGATCTAGCATTCAGGAGCATAATTGTTAGTAAACCAGAGTTATTGGAGGAGAGGTTAACATGGTTACTTGTCACTATCCCTACGTTATGTTTGGAGGGGCTCTGAGGTGAGACAGAGTCAGTGTGTGTACTATTTCCTGGATGAACTGTGCAGCGAGTGGGGCTATTGTTTGCTGCAGCCGAAAATAATCCTGTTGCATATTTTGACTATTAGCATCCATGGGTCGGCATCTGCGTTGATCTACTGGTGATATATGGTCTGCCCTGCAATTTGGGTTGTAGTTTGCTGGACCTAGGTACCCTGTGTTAAGATTACCCTGGTAGTTGTACCTCATGGGGCTTTCATAGCCATATGCATATTGGCTCACGTCACGTGTGTGAGTGAAGTTATTGAGGGGATCAAGTGCCGACCTGTTCTCATTAAGTTGATGAGGTTTAACATATATAGTGCGAGAGTTTGGACGAGGATTTTCGTTAATATGGTGCCTATATGAGTCCCGTTTAGTGCTCCATATATCCTGAGGATCCATTCTACGTTGCATTCCCAAGTTATGTGCGTTGTTAGGCATGTTACTTCTAGTTCGGGAAGGGGTATTCCTTCTCACATGCTGCGTGACGTCTTTGGGAATGTGCTTCGTTACCCATGCTTTGTCATTTTTTAGACTGACACGCTGCTTATTAGACTTATTACGAGGGAGGTATGTCGAAGTCTGGGGTGGGACTCTGGGTTTTGTGGTCTTTTTTGCGGTTTCTACTGAGGGACTCTCTGGCTTGGATCCAGATTGAGAGTGGTCTGCCAGTAGTTTCTGGTCAGCCATAGTTTGTGCGTCTATGTCAACCTTATGTAGGTCAGCAGGTTTTCGAGATGTGCTCTCGTGCACTCTAAGATTGCACCCAGTGGCACTGCTCTTACTGAGTTTTGGGTCGCTCTTACTTGCCGTTTTTTCTCCTAACACTATACACGTGACTTGCTGTGCTTCAGTGTCCGTCGACACTTTAGCACTGATACCAGATGTATTTCTCAGTGTTGTCAACTTTGTATCGAAGGAGTTCTTGGTTGCTT